CATGCTAATATTTACAAACAAGCAAGGGAGTGTGAAGCTACCAGACTGACTCTTTGCACTCCATAAGCTGCTCCTAGGCAAGGGATCCTGAAGGCAGGTCAGAGATCTGCTGAAGTTGGCAGAGAAGGGTCACAGCATCAGTTCACATGATTAGGACCTTTAGATTGCAACAATAATGCGCTTTGGAATACATTGTTTCCGAAATGCTTTAGGAGAAGTATATCATGCAATGAAAGCAAAACAAAAATATCCTAAGAATTTTGAAATTGAGATTAAAAGAAGGTCAGGACTGTCAGTCCAATGTGTAATTTCCAACAAGCTGCAAATTGCTCAGTATAAAAGCCTCCTGCCCCAAGCCTTGACACACTAGAACATGTGAAAGACTAAAGATGGCACTGCCCGGTACCAAATGCTGCCTCTCCTGAACCTCAGACGAAGACAATTTTTCAGCAGTGAAATTGGTATCTGAGCAAAGAAAGAAACACTCCAGTTACAGGGCAATTTAAATACAATTCCTTTCTCCAGATAGGAAGAGTGATAAACAGTTTGAAGTGTGTGCTTGAATGGCAGGACACACAGTATTGTTTATTTTCCTATTGTTTATTCCCTGTTCTTCTTCTCCTACACCTTTGGCTGGGAACCAGTGGCACAACCCAAAAAGAAACTTTCAGATCTTTGGGTATATACGCACTATAAAATCAGTTTCAAAGCAATAGCAAAGCACTGTTTCTAGCAGGTGGTCTAGAGGTGAATGTTTACAACTTTACCATGCTTCCAGCAACCGTATTTCCCCCATCTCAGAATCAGTCCCAAAGACCTCAAGTGGCCGCAGTGTCAAGGCGCTGTTCTTGCAGTGAAGGAGAATTACAGTTCTGACAGCAAGGAGGATAAATTAGAGGAGCTTACGCAAAACAAGGTGAGAAAAAAAGATGCTTGCTTACAAAGAAAAAGTTTTCACAGGACCTCTGAGAAAAGCAGTGAAAAGATCTTCCACCTGTTACAGGGCCAAAATAAGCACTTCCTGAGTCTGTTAATATTTGTAGGCTATAACAGCACTTGACAAACTGCATACACTACAAAAAGGCTTTCACAATGTATGTGATGACACAGGAAATCTGAGGAAAAAAATCATGCAACTGAAGAAAGGTAAGTTTTGCAGCCTAAAATTGCTAAGTGGTAACGTGACCTTTGCAAATAAGGATTGAAGAACCCTTTAACAGTAGCAGCAAACCATTTCTAAAGAAAGGTCATTTCCCAAGTAAAGAAATTAATTTATCATTATTAATTTCGAGCACAGTCTCCATTCTTTCCAGGCTAACACAATTTCAAGCAACATTTTTTTTTTTTGCTCTGAAATTGTATTTGTAGGATAAATCAATATAGTGAGGAGTAGAGGAATTTCTCAAAGACATCCTTTTCTTCATCTCAGCATCTTTGTGGGTGCGCGTTGCATTTATCTAGTAAAATCATTCCTTCCCCTTGCTTTGGAGGTATTGATGTCTTAGCTCTCCTACCCGAAGACTGTAGGAAAATTAAAAACTCGGTTATGTCTGGACTGGGACCGCCACTGCCGGTTCACCAGCCCCCCCTGCTCTCAGTTTGCGGTGGCGCCCAGCAGCCCGGCGCAGCGGGTGCATGAGCTGCAGCTGCAGGTGCGATCCTGACACCCAGCGGCCACCGCCTTCATGGCCCGCTCCTGGCGTCCACAGCGTTTCAAACCCGGCTCGTCTTGTACTCGCAGAGGTGATTTTAGTCAACGCCAAAATATGGTGACATTTTTGTGCGTATTTTCCCAGCGTTCTGGGTGTCTGAATTCAGTGTTTTCATCTTGCCCACTATCAATCTTGATGAGAACTTGAGGTTTAAACTTCCCTTCCAGGATGTGTTTTTGAACTTGAATTCTAACATTTGTTTGGTTTAATGTACCCGTTGCTTCTATTAACTCCTGCACCAGCTGCAAGAGATGGATAAGCTTCTGGGCATCTTTTCTATTCCAAAGATGGAGTATTTTAATCAATACATCTCCTAGCTTAGAGTTCACAGGATGACAGTTTGACAGCAACTCTTAGACCAGCCCTACATGGCATGGTGTTGTCCCTGAACTTCTATCAAATGGTAGCGTCCTTCATACAGTCCCACTCTTTGAAAAAATACCATTTTAAAAAGAAATGAAAGCTTTCCCACATTCAGAATATGTCTTTTTTCTTTCTGTATACCAGCGTATAGTACATCTCTTCACCACAAAGCAGGTGTCTCTCAAGCATTTCAACTTTTTTATCCCAGTAAAATAAAGTTTTTCTCTTTTCCCTTATGGAGATCATCTCCATTCACCCTACTCTCAGTAACCACTTATGCAGTCTCTGAGTCGATCACCATCTTAAACCATGCTAATTGTAGGATTACAGATGGAAGGCTGAGCCTGTAGTGAGAACGAAGACATGAAACGAGCTAGAAACCACAACGCTGTGTAAACAAACAATTCTGAGATGAAACAAGACCGTGACACTGGAAAGCTTGGATCAGCCTTCTGAAACAGTTTCCTTGGATCACCCCTCTGAAGTCTTGATGAATATCTAAATTGCTCAGTCTTCCTAGCTTCCTAGTCAGTATCTCAAGTAATCTTATTGTGATCTCCCAGAACTCTTACATTTTTAACTTTTTTTTTTTTTTTCCTTCAAGAAAATTAAACCAACTTGCACGCTCTTTGACCTGATGTAGATAAGCCTCTAGACACACATCACGCTTCTTACTCTTTGTTACCCCAGTGAGTTACCTCCTGGATGGTCTTTGGCCAAGATCTGCAAAATACATAAATCACATAAAACTTATCCAGAGTTTGGAACTCTTGGAACTCTTTCTAAGGCCTGAAGAGTGGGATGCTTCAGCACTTTTCTGCAGGGATTCTGTCTTTCTGTGCTTTTGTTCGTTTGTTTGTTTTCTGTCTTGGTCTCTCTGGAAGCAACTGCAGAATGCAATTGCTGTATCCAGCTGTGTAAAACTGCTTCCTGCTAAGGAAGCCTTGATAATGACTCAACAGATCCTCATAAAAGCAAAAACAAAGCAAAACAAAAATTATAGTTCTCATTTAGTTCCTTGCAATAAAAGGTAAGGGCATTTTAGGATATTGTTTTGACACTGCTCTCTGTGACCTTGGCTTTATAGCATGCTTACTTGTAAACAAGGGGACTTGAATCATCTGTGTTTTCATAGAATATTTCCATGGATTTCTTTTGATCGCACAGCATTTACAAGACGTAGCTTGAAGTGTTCTATTGGAAAATTTCTGGCAATGTGTCTTTCCTATTTTAGAACAAGTAATTAAAACCACTGCTATCATATGAAAGCACGCATCATTCCATGCATTTTAAATTTAACGTTACGTAAGCTCTTTAAGAGAGCCAGAGAAGAAAGACCACTTATTTGATGGATGATAGAATTTATTTAAAGCTCCACTTCGACCAAATTAGATTGGTGATACAATTTATAATCTGTGATTTTTATATCTGCTTGTGAGTTTAATATTCATGTAAAATATTACCTGCACTGTCAAAATCTTTTTCAACAGTAATACTGAATTTTGGCTTCGATATATTCCTTGACCCTGCTCAGTTGCAAAGTCTGCCTGGGAAAAAGTGAGAGCTTTGCACCTCATAAAGGGAATGGGATGGAACCTATAGGGCTTTTTCTTAGCTAAATACAACTGAACTAACATTACCAAAATACTTGTTTTGGGAGGATCCTCAAATTCAGTGCACTTCTTCAGCCTTTCTTTGTAAGGAGTTTTTGTACTAGAGTTACCACAAAAAGTGTAGTGCCTTTAACAAAGTAAATGGCTAATGAAAAATAGTGTTTTGATTTGCACATAGCACCTCGTGGCTATTTTTGTTACAGCTCTCTTCCTCCACAGTCAGACTTCCTGTGTCACTTATTTAGAAAGCAAAAATGAGATGTAATTTATACAGAGACAACGTCAAGAGCTGGGAAACGCTGTGCCCTGAAACACGAGTTTTAGGAAAGGCTCCATTTATTTTGCTTTCATATTTACTGAAGTCTCCTGACAGACAGAGGCTATCTGGTTTCATTCCCAATGCCCCGTTTTCTAGGTACTTTGTATTCAGATTTGGTTCACTTGATTCTCAGATAGGTGAATTAAGCAGTAGCTACAAAGTCAAAGCTGTATTTTTCCTTCAGGAATTAACTGGAAGCCTGGCTTGTTAGTGCAAAGCTGTGGTGCCAGTTTCAGGCAGACTCAGCCTGGTGTCTGGCTTGGGAACGTGAGGTCCTCAGGCATGTGCTGCGTGATAACGATGTAATGTAGGTGTAGGCCTGCAGCTGTAACGCTCACCTGGCTTACTCAATTTAAGCAAGTCAAACAGAAGTTCAAATCATGTTAATAATCTCAGGGAAAACAATGGGAGTCTTCAAGGAGTCGGTCTAACAGGCAGTTACTTAAATCTCTTGCTTTGCCCTTTGCTTTGAAGTCTGTGATTTGAAGTGATGCAGGCTGGCTGAATTTCGGGTAACTTGAGGAAACTTCCGAAGCCCTGCCTGAAACTCTCTGCAATGCCTGAAAGGAAGGTGTGGGGAGCTGGGAGTTGGCCTCTTCTCACTGGTAACTAGTGATTGGGGCTACATGGAACAGCCTCAAGCTGTGCCAGGGGAGGTTCAGGCTGGCAGTGAGGAGCCATTTCTGCTCAGAAAGAGCAGCCAGGCACTGGGACGGGTTGCCCAGGGAGGTGGTGGCGTCACCGTCCCTGGGGGTGCTCAGGGAGAGGCTGGACGTGGTGCTTGGGGACATGGTTTAGTGAGTGACACTGGTGGTAGGGGGTAGTTGGACCGGGTGAGTTCGCAGATTTTGTCTAATCTCAGTGACTCTGAGTCTATGGGTGGAAGGGGCAGGGCGCTACAGAGGACTACATCTCCCAGCGTGCCGTTGCGGGCGCGCACGCGCGCAGTGCCCCTCCGGCGGCGGTGTCGGCGGGCGGCTGGGGGAAGTGCGGGCTGCCGCCGGGTGAGGGGAGCGGAAGGGGCGGGCGCGGGGCGGTAGCGGCGGCTGCTGGCGGCAGCGGGGCGGCCGCCATGACGGACCGGTACACCATCCACAGCCAGCTGGAGCACCTGCAGTCCAAGTACATCGGCACCGGGCACGCCGACACCACCAAGTGGGAGTGGCTGGTCAACCAGCACCGCGACTCCTACTGCTCCTACATGGGCCACTTCGACCTGCTCAACTACTTCGCCATCGCCGAGAACGAGAGCAAGGCGCGGGTCCGCTTCAACCTGATGGAGAAGATGCTGCAGCCCTGCGGGCCGCCCGCCGACAAGCCCGACGAGTCCTAGCCCCCACGGAGCCCCCCGGCCACAGCCAGCCCCGCAGCCCCCCCCCGCCTGCCCTGCTTCGCCTGGAGGTGTTGGGACAACGCCTGCGCCCCGATGGTTCCTCCCCGTTGCGGACTGTTCACTTTCTCTCTCTTTTTTATAAAAAAATACATTTCAGTGGGCATTTGTAACGTCTCGTTTGGTAATGTGCTAGTAACAGCGCGTGGTTCTGAAAGGCACGGTGTTACTCGATGTTAAGCTGTTCAGTACTTCTTGTTTGGAGTGACAGCAACAACTTTAACATAGTGTCTTCCCAGCCTCGCCATCTGGTACTTGCCCACCAGACCTGCATTTTGGGGAGGGAAGGGAGGAAGCGCGTGGCCTATAAAAGGGTTTGATCTGTTGTCAGCCTTTGGGGTGATCTGTGATGCAGTGTACGTCCATTGCTCCAAGGCCATAAAACTCAAATGTGACTTTACTCTGTATGCTGTTTTTTTTTGTCTCACCTTCTCATCTGCACATTGCATTTTCCAAATCCTGATCCTCTGTTCCAGCTTATTTTTTACTAACCAATGTTTATAGTAATCTAATTAAAAATTTTTCTACAATTCACTGTGTAAGTCAGTAACAACGTGGGGTTGGGCACTGTGGGTGTGAAATGGGTGATGTGGAGGCTAGGGAAAAGCTAAACCATTTTGCCAAATGACACATACAAATTTTTCTTTCTTTCCAATGAGAAAAATAAAGGTTATTCATTATTACTTTGAAGTAGAATGCCTAGAAATCCCACTAATGTTGAGGTGACAATGTCAGATCAGGCTACAAACAGAGCTGATGTTGGTTTAGATTTGTCACCCAAAATAGGCTTTCTCTTCATTCATAAATCTTGAGTTCTAATGGAAAACCTGACAGAAAAACTCAGAGGTTATGTTCAGATTATGCAAGTTTACCAGTGACATTTGACATTTTCTTAAGATGAGTGATCTCTTCCAAATAATGAACTTAAACTCTACTCAGATGTATAAAATAAACTATTCAAGATAATGGAGTAATGTAAGAAAAAGTGCTTAAGTTCCTGCAGTCATATTCAAGTCAATACATCCATTTTCTGAAGATTTCAGCTTTTTTTTTTTTTTTCCCCCAGTTTCGTCACACATACTAAGATGACGACAAGGGTGAAATGGTCCTAAATAAATACAGCCTGCAAGATTTGTGGGGAACTACCGCAGTTTGCCAGAAATGAATTTCTAGAAATAATCTGTAGAAAACTAATCTTTTGCACTTCTTAGTGTAATTAATCTTTAAAATTGGTATCCTTGGGAGACTTACCAATGTGATACTTCAAAGCTGACTTAAGAGAACAGTTTGAAATACATGTGCAAGCTGGTACAGGTAATTTGAAGAGCATCTGTTCCTTAAAAACTGAGTAATACGGCTGAAAGATTTCCCTTAGATAAGTTCAGGCACTTAAAAGTACATACGCAGTGCAGTCTTGCAGATGTTGAGCAAAATTCATACTTAAATCAAACAGATTTCTTGTTACTTTTCTTAATTAACTCTTCTACAACCAGATCTTAGAAACTTGCTTTTTCCCTATATGAATAGACAACATACTCAGTGGAAAAGGGTGCCATAGCTGTTGTTCCTCTTCATTGCCATACATACACTACAGCTCTCGTGGCAGGGTCAGTGTGAGGCAGAGAACAAAATCTTGAGCCTCAGAGCAGAGACTAAGGATGGGGTTAGCATGTGGAGGCTGTTTTAATGGGATGGAAAATGAAAGCGCAGTGTTGTGTGAAGACAAGTCTTTAGTCTCTTATACAGAAGGAAAATAGAAACTATACAACTTAATCCACTTTGCATCAATTAGAACTAAAGATATTTTCAAGAAGAATTCTTTTAGTATAAGCTGCTAATGGTTACCTCCATCCATGGATGTTTTTAGTACTCATATTATAAAACATGAGCAACAAGTGTGTAGGGTGCATAAGTAGGGATTAACACCCCCTTGCAAGCCATTTTTTCCTTATAAAGGCCAAACAGCCTTGAGGGACAAGTCCAAATTATATACATGATGAGTTATCTTGCTTGCTGGTTATACTTCATGTGCTCACTCAGATCTCAGTAAAACTTTTGGCTCTCTTACTGCAGCTGGAAAAGGTTTTTAGAGAGTCTGCACTAAGTTCTGGTTGTGCAACATTACAAGCACTTTCTTAAGAAATGCAGAAAACTGAAGGGAAGTTAGTATTTCTAAGGATTCAAGTTAATCTTGAATTAAATTTGGAGATGCTAAAAAGTGTATTTCTGGATTTTGGCACTATTCCTCAACCTCAACACATTTAAAACCAAGCAAAGACAGGGAACTGATTTCTATTTCAGTATTGTAAAGCTAAAGAATAAAGTTAGTTACCAAGCCCTTTGGGATGCATCTCTTTTCTAACTCTACCTTTAAAGATGAAGGATATTGCTTATTAGATGGCTGAAGGTTTGCATTATGTTTTTCTTCCATCTAAGATGTCTTGAATGGCTTTAATTTGGCTTCCCAATGTGATCTCCACTTCATTTTCCTGTGTTTATGTAGCTTAATCTCAGGTAGAGTGAAGTGTGAGAAATGTAATTTATTTCCAACATAATGATGTGCTTTGGCAAGAAAGAATTTCACCTGCTCTTGTTCTGCCAACTGTCCTGTCTTTGTAAGTTCTTTGTATAGTAGAACATGTGCTATTTTACTGATGCTTTTAATTAAAAGTTCTAATAGATGTGTAGTATTTAATGACTGTTTAGTTAAAAATACAATACTAAAATGACTTAGACAATATTTATGAATACAGTGAGAACTGTGAGGATGGCAGATGTAAGCAAGGAGAGAGGCTTGCTCACAGTGCTTTAATTATGGATAATTCAAGAGAAAGCGAAACAAGCGTGACTCTTACAGAAAAGGCATGCAAAGCTTCATGCTGAGAAGGTTTATTTTACCTCAAAGTGGGATATACCTGATACAGAATATACTACAAGAGAAGTGCACTACTATCTTCATTTTTAATTATATTTATTTCCATTCTCTTCATAATGTGTCTGCCTTATACACCAGGTAGAATAAATGTGAGGATTACTAAATTATTTTAGAAATTAAATGTACTCAATTTCTATAATCCAATCACTAAATTTCCATTACAAGTGATTCTTCTTTTTTACTACACCAGAGGGCAGCAAATGACACTGCTGTTCAAATGGAGGCACGGATTGTTGTTTTAAATGAATAATAGAATTGTGTTACCTCCCAAAGTGCCTTTGTAAAAATAGATGGATACCTAAAAAGTAATAATAATAATAATAAATTGCCAAAGCTTTCCAAGAGACAGAAATAATATTTTATTTTATTTTATTTTATTTTATTTTATTTTATTTTATTTTATTTTATTTTATTTTATTTTATTTTTTCCTATGGAACAGTTCTAAGATTTAGAACATAGAATGATAGAATCACAGAATCATAGAACCAGAGAATGGTTTGGGTTGGAAGGGACCTTAAAGATCGTCTAACTTCAACCCCCCTGCTATGGGCAGGGTACATCTTCCACTAGAACAGGTGATTACCAACATATATTATACCTTTTATTCTGAACAGGTACATAGAGCAATATGGAAAACCTAGCACAACACTATAACTCTACAGTTTTGAATACTTTTTTTTTTTCTTGATTTACTAAAATGATAGCAGTGCCTTAGTTAACACTTGCACAGTGAAACGATTGCACTAGAGTTATTTCCTACAAACAATAAAACTTGGGTTGCTTCTTTCACTTTAGTTATATTCAGAAAAAAAAAAAAAAAGGTGTTTTTTTTTCAGGATAATTTACATGTATTAAACATTCTTGGTGATAATCTGGTTTAGCATCAGGATTTTACTTTAGCACATTAAATAATTCCTTTTTAAAGCTGAACCTATTTTTTCTCACTAGTTTCAGTCAGAACTCTCTTGGTTCTGTGTTGTTGCAACAGTCATTTAATAGATTTTTTAATGAAAATTGGAAAAAATAAAAAATAAAGCCCAACCCCCTGAAATTTCATATTACACAAGGGGGACTTACGAGTAAGTTTACAACTTTTTTGTTTGTTTCTGGTCATTAAAATACAACCATACAATTTATTCATTTTAGTACTGTTATATTATTAATAGTTCATTTTAGTACTGGTATTCTCATAACATCATAAATCAGTCTACGCCATTGTCATTTACTAAAAATTGAGCTCTTTCCACTGCCCTGAGGTTAGTTTTATTGCCCAAATAGACCTAAACGCATTTAAAGTTCTAATCAAATTGTGGTGCATTTCCGTAAGAGCTGGACATCCTTGTTTGAAAATTCCATTAATGTTTCCTTATCCCTAATATATCTGCCATTCTGGTTCTTTATTCTTCTTTTTATTAATTTTATTTAATTTGGTTTGAAAACAAAAATGCCTACGAATAATATGGTCATAAAACAGTACAGTACATTCTTTGATGCCTTTTGACAAAGTCATCATTCTACGCTATCATGAATAAATGTGTCAGGATGCTGACATACCTGGATATTTGTGACTACTCTAAAATACAACAATAACAATGGTTTTCTTGGGTTCAGAACTGTAACCTTTTGCTTTCTCGTTTTCCTGCCATCTTGCTAATTACTTTTTAGCTCAGTATTGCACAAAATACAGTGGACTTTTTCCCCCTGATTAAAACATGCAGAACATTCTTTGATAAAAACTAATGACTAGAATTCATTTTGAAACCCACTTCAAATAGATAGAATAGTCCACCTCAAGTAGGTCTGCTCAGACTCCTATATAGTTTAGGATTTTGTGAAAAGGAAATACAGTTCAGAGAACTGATATTCTGCTCATGGATGAATGGCACTTCAAATTTCATTCAAGTTACAAAAAATATAATTCCATTCTGGGATGATCTATAAGAAACTAGAATTTTAGGTAAATGACAACAGCATTTCCTCAGGTTCCAGTGAGGCATAGCTGCCCAAACATTTTCTTAAGCAGCACAGCTGGCTGTTAACAGCCTGATGCCTCCTGGGTAATGCTGGTATCAATGCGTGTGAGGCTGGCATATAAATCAAATTGTTCAAATGGTGTTAAGATGAAACTTGCAAAGTTAGATTTGTAAACATCATACAACACACAAAGTTATGAGGTTGTGTTTAATGTCTTGCTTCTCTAATCAGGTTTATAGCCTGACCACACGTGATGCCAGCATTGCAGAATAATGAGCTGCCACAAACAGACTGATACTGTCTAGCTGAAAGCAAAAATATTTTAAAATTGCTTTTGCTAAGGAAGGAAACATAATGTTTTATATTCTGAGCCAGAAGTTGTTACACTCTGTGCAGAAGCTTTGGGGTAATAACCAGCAGGCTGCTGTGTGGTTGAATACATGCATCTCTAAGTACACATGCATAAAGCCTGAAGAATAAGAGTGCTGTGATTAACCACTGATCACAGTGCTCACACAGCATGGCAGACATCAGATGGTACAGGCAACCAAGTCTTTTATTTCCTTGTGCTTAAGTAAAATCTAAGTGCTGTTTTGTTTTTGTTTTTGTTTTTAATTAATTA